ATCTGTCCAAGCGCAAAAAAACAAAACTGTCATATTTGGAATTACACATCAAAAGAGTAATAACAGTTCTTTTGCAAAGACAGAAAGCTCGTGTACAAGATGTGCTGTTATCTTAACTCTGAAAACAACCAGTCAATGTTTGTTTGGCATGAAAAAGGTTTGTTAAGAGCTCTACAAAAAATAGGTCGTAGAGTTTTTTCGTATTTCAACTTCACATTACTACCAATATATAGTCACAGTACTCATTGAATAAATTTTTTTGGTTCTATCTTTTTTAACCTACATTTTCTCATTGTTTTGTAGAGAATTTTGTACTGCATCTTCTAGGAAAAATTCAGTCGAATATGATAAATAGATGACAGAGATATTGAGAAAATTCTAAGAGACTCATTAATTCTTGTCGCATACGTTTTTATATTTAAATTAAATTATATTATTCTGCATCTTGTATATCATGCAATATATGAAAATCATTGTTTGTCATTTATTGTATTTAGTTATTTTTGATTTCTATTCAGTCATGTAATCCTAATAAGCAGACGTCAATGATTAGTTTATTCACATGGCTTAGCATTAAGTCAAATAGTTTGTGTTTCATCGAGTATATATGTATATACATCATTTGTATCTGTATAATGTCGATAAGTGTTCTGTGCAAATTTTTTACAGCTAATTCGTTTTGTCATTTGGACCTTTGATGAATACCATTCTTTCAGCTTTCATCATACTTCCATTAATAAATATTAATGAGAATTTTCCGTTTTTTCTCTTGTCAAGTGTTCAAGACATTGATAAATTGAGTTAATCCAAATTGAAATAAATTGCTATGCAGTAGAAAGGATCGTTCTGTATTTAATAGATTACTTTTATTTGAATTCAAAAAACGTTATATATATACATTGTAGAAGAAATTTATTTAGAAAAATTGATATGTCCATATTTAACATCTAATTTTCAGTCATTATTGATAAAAAAAAAGACTCGTCACGTTTCATCACAATTTGATTTTAATCTACAATTTGCACTATCGACTTCAGAAATATATTACAAGCACCATTCTCAAAAAAAAACTACATTAATATAATAAAAATATAAATGGTACATTCGGTCCTTCTAATTCTCTAAATTATTTCTTCACAATAAAAATGAATGATTAGTATACATTACAAAATAACAGACGAGTCACGCCAACTTGAATGACTTGTGAACATGTTCTCATGAGTTGGTAGTCAAGTTTGAGACACCTCGACCTATAGCAGAACAGCTTTTTTTCAATTGAGTTTTAAGAAAATCATCAAGACTTTCAGAGATTTGTTACTCAGGCTAGTTGGCTTTGAATAATGCAACGGTTGATCTCAACAGAAGAGATGATTGACTATGCTGTGTTGAGTAGTGATGATTGTAATCAACTCTTGAAAATCTTTTAGTTATACAAGGTCAACAGCATATATTTCACAAATCTGTAATTTGAAACTAAATAAAAACATCACTAATCGATTCATCCTTCTCGGAATCGGTGGTTCTTGCATAATATAGAATCCACTGATCGGAAATCTGAGCTTATGAAAGACTCATCGGACTCTTGAAGCATACAAGTTAGAAATCTCGCATGTGTGTAATTCAAAAGAGAATAGCTTTCTCAATCGAATTCATATTTTAATGTAAGAAATTCAATGTTGATTCTCTACAAATCCCATGTGAAAACTTTCTTGAAATCGAATCGAAAAAGCTATTCTGTTGTAGATCGAAGTGACTCTAACTTAGCTATAAGTTAATAAAAAACGATTTGCAATATCTCTTTAAAATCCTCCAGTTACTCAAGTTACCATAAGTCATTTTCAATTTTGAATTGCATAATAATCATGTTTCAACTTTTTTAATCTCGAGCTGATGCCTAGAAGAAGCAGTTGTGATATTTTCTTTTCCTTGAATTCAATGACATCAAAATAAAAGAATTCATCTCATAATATTAAATAAATTGTTTCGATATTTAAAACTAACATTCTCGATTTAGAAAAATCTAGAATTATGAATGAAAAAATTTTTGCAACCAAAAATAACATCAATTATTATTTTTCACAATCATGGTTTTTGGTTCAATCATGCGTAAATGAAAAATATACAGAAAGATTACGGTAAGTTGAAAACTATTATTCATTGAAATACAATCATATTGTCATTATGTGTTTTAATTGTAGTATGAGAAGGAATTTATTTTTTTTATGATCATTCACATAAAAATATCAATATGTCTGTAGTTATTTGCCATGATTTATTTTCAATTAAAACGGGAAGATCAGAATTATTCATGTAAAAATGTCTTTATACTTTCGTTTTGATATCTTATTTATCTATAATTCGACAATCTATTGTTTATCATTAATAGGATTCAAATGAAATAAGAAGCAATTATTAATATGAATGAATAAATGAATGAATGATGCATTTGAATAGATTTTATCGATTATTGACGTATTTGTTATTCATCTATTTGACAGGGCATAAAATGATGAAAAGAATATTAAAAAAAAAGAGAGAAAGAGAAAAAAAATACCTAAAAAACGCGAGTAGAAATGTGTCATAACGAAAAAAAAAACGAAGATTAGCAAATAAATTGGTGTTCGCTATCAACAAAAAAAAAGGAGTAGGTAGAATTTAAATGAAACAAAAATAAATTATGACAAACAATATTTGTTTACGAATGAATTGTCAATGTGGTACAATAGTTGAAATGAATCGTCGTCATTAACTGATCACACGTTTAATCTGACATGAGATTTACATGAAAACAATTTACGTACTAATCATACGGGCATTCAAACAATTATTCAACGTTATCCAAATATAGATCCTTTATGTAAAAATGAAAATATTCTAACTAATATTTATATTGATTATATTCATGAAGTACAAATTCTTACATGTGCTATTAAGAATATACCAGAATTACCAACGTTCATTATGTCCGTTACGAAAGATATTTAATGATATATCAAATTTAACTATAACTGAAGCTTTTATTAATAGATTAAAAGATCAAGCTATTAACTATTTTCTTGAACATTATGAAACAAGTCGAGATATATCGCTTTTTAAGTTCATTTATTCAAATCTCTAATGGAAAAGAAAGATCAATAGCACGTTGTTCAATGAATATTGTTGATCTGACAGAACATCAATCTAATGTTACATATTTATTCTGTGTTATTTTTTGCTATTTTAAACGCATTGATATGATACAGCTTATGAATTTTCTTGAAAATAAACAAGTCCTAACATTAGTAAATCAATCCAAGATATTCAAATGGACAATGGACATATAACTGGTGCTTATTATTATGAAATAGTAGCTGAACCATTTGAAACAATAATCGATCCAATGAAACTAGATTGGAATAAAAGTAGTAAACTTCGAAATGGAAAAATTTATCAAGCATACAAATGATTTATATGAATATCTATTGAAGATGACGACTCACATCGCTTTTTATATCATTCACATCTATCATCATCTTACAAAACACATTTGTCCAAATTTGATGTCGCAATATGATGAGTAAAAAAAAACAGAGAACGTGTGAGCGTGCTGTTTTCATCATCATTATTTATCGTTTATACTTGTATATGATCCTCTTTTTTTTTAATGTCAAATGGCAAATGAGCGTTATTCTATTGCACAACAATAATTGTACGCGTCGTTGTCGTCGTCTTCATTTTATCGAGCAAGGTCCTACGGTCTACATGCCTATCAAAAGAAGGTTTCTTCCTTTTCAAATATAAATTAGTTCTTTTTTTTACTGTCTTCATAAAACGAAAAGAATCAACAAAATTCTCCTTTTTTTTTCTCTCTCTCAACTTTTTTATGACATTAATCAAATTTCGTGCTCACTATGATGGTAGGGATTCATTTTTGTTTTTTTTTCACGATTTTTACCATCAACACCCTGATTAACTTCATCCAATTGATCAACTATCAAATGTATAGACTATAGATTAGATTTTACAGATGCATAAATACATACATAAAGACAAGACATGTGCATCTGTTTTATTAAGATATTTTTCATACATTTTCATCTTGTAGTATCCAAATTTACATTACTAAACAACTAAGCAAAGGCCTTATTAATAAGTTTCTTTAACTTTCCTTTTTGGAAGCTCTTATTAGTATAACCAGACGTATTTAGCATGCTTGATGCTTTAACTAATAAAAGACAAGCACTCGCTGTTTTGTTCGTTTGTTGGATGGCGTTAGCAAAAAGAGCCCATAAAATAAGGCAACATATCGACTTTAGGGGAAAGAAAAATGAGAAAGGGAGAAAAGAAGAGGAAAGAAAAGCAGAAGGAAGAAAACAGCAGCAGACTGGCGCGTTCGATGCAATATATGCTTGTGGATGAATGAGAAAGAAACAGTGAGGGAAAACTGTGATGGTAATTTGGATACAAAAAAAAACGCGAGAAAAAACAATAGTTCTATCGTACCTAAATCTGCGATGAGTAGTCAGTTATATTTATTCATCAAGTACAAATAAGAACTATGCATCAATGCGGTTCATCTCTATTCTGTTTCATGTCAAGATGAATAATTCACACATTTTATGATCTGTTTCTTTCTTTTTCTTTCTCATAAAAGATCATACTAGTGCGTGTATATGTTGATAGAAGCTAATAGTTACTGATGTATGTGTGTGCGTTTGTTTACTAACGAAGAATATGGGATAATCTTTTCCTCCTCTTCGTTTGTGTCGTTCATTTCTTTCGTTTGCTTGTTCGTTAAGATCAAGTAATGAAGAACATACTAGTAGTCTCGGCAGACATGATAATGTAAGAAGAATCGCTCATAAATTGCATTAGACCGACAACCATAGAATATTTAACTTAATGATAGACGAAAAAAAAATGAGCGGGATTGAGCGTTCATGATATATATCTATCTTATATATCTTTTTTTTTCAGATTTTTTAATATTCTATATGCTTATAAATATATCATAACTAACTATGGGAAATACTTCACCGCAAAGAAATTCGATTCGATCAATAGCAACAACAACAACAAGTACAAATGAATCAATACAATATCCAAAATTAAAAAAATCTCGTAGTTTACGTGAATATACTAGAAATACACCATTAATTAATAGTAGTAAAAACAGTAATAGTAGTCGAAAAAATACATCATTAATAAGACCAAGATCAATGGCACCGACCGATGCTGAAATATTTGATATTCGTAGTTTACGTTGTGCATTACCTCTATCGGATATATTAATCAATGATGACGCATCAATAACAAATAAAAATCATGAAAATGAAAATCAATTAATGAAACAACTTGATTATATTCATTCTTGTGTACGAAAAGATAAAGGTTTATTTGGTAAGTTAATTTTAGTTGAGACTTTCAAAAAAAAGAAAAGCAAGAATCAAATAATTCTATTATTTAAATAGGAATGATGACTGAAAATATTCAAAGTAAACATATTTTTTCTAATAATGAACCTGAAAATACACATACATTAGAACGAACACCAGAAGATTTTCAAATGGATTATCAATCAATTTATTTACAAACACTTGATGGAGAATTTATACATGCTTATTGGATACAACAATCAGATGATATTAATTCAACAACAACACTTTTATATTTACATGGTGCAGGTGGAAATATATCACATCGACTTGAAGTTTTACGACTATTTTATGAAAATCTTCATTGTAATATTTTAATTATTGATTATCGAGGTTAGTATTTATTAAGAAAACAAATAAGTGAATCTTTAGACATAATGCTTTTCTATTATAATTCAAAGGATTATCTTTCCTATATGTAAATTTCCTAAATATACATAAAGCACAAAAGATCTACTTTCATATATTGAGTTTTTTGAATAAATCAGTACAAAGTTTCTAACAATTATTTTAATTCTATTTTTCAAAATAGGTTTTGGTAAAAGTACTGGTTCACCAAGTGAACTTGGTCTTTATATAGATGCTCAAACAGCATATGATTATTTAATATATAAACAAAAAATTTTGCCGGAAAATATAATTGTTTTTGGTACAAGTCTTGGTGCATCTGTAGCTATACAACTTGTGAGTGATCCATTAAATCGTGTTAAAGTAGCTATATTTGAAAATGCTTTTATATCAGTACCGGAAATCGCTAAATATTTTTTAACATATGCTAAAAGTGTTATTGGTGTAACAAAATCAATTGGTTTTATTTATTTATTTGATTCATTACCTAAAGTACGTCGTATTGAATGTCCATGTATTTATTTAACCGGTTTACTTGATCCTATTATTCCAACATGGATGTCCAATACATTGTATAATGAAACACGTTCAGCTAGAAAACGTCATTTATTTGAATATCCATTTGGTAAACATAATGATTTACCAATAATGCCAGATTATTTTGAAAATATACAATCATTTATTAATGAATTACCTTTAACAAAACCTTCAACTGAACAACAATCGGTGCTGAGATAATATTCATATTAATTAAAAAGAAATTTTTAGATATATACATATATATATAGGAGTAACATATGCTCGTTTTGTTACTACAGTTATTGTTGTTTATTTTATATTCATCTATTTATTATTCATAATCGATCAACAAAGAACGTAAAAAAAGACATGTCCGGAATTGATTGGTATCTTTCTAGAGAGTTATGAATAAATCATTTTTTTTCTTTGAAAAACAAGATTTTATTATCGTGTCTGAAATTTCTAAGGTAAATGATAAGTTGTATGGATTCGTCTCTACATTGATAAAAATATGAAGATAATGAAAGAAAAAAAGGCTACTATTTGATTCCGGATAATATTTATATTTTCTTCGGCTTGGCGTCAAATGGAAAAAGAATTATATATCACGATAATCAGTATTTACTTAAATCAGCCTTAGAAAAAAAAAGAATGACATGAATCTGTTCTCTTTGAAAGATGAAAAAGAAAGATGTAACTGAAATTATGGGTGTTATTTTTTAGTCAAATTTTTAGTTTTAATTATCATCGAAGGAATTAGTGATTCAATTCTTATCATAGAATATTTTCGAAAGAAGATAGTAGTCAATAGAAAATTTCTTGTGTTTCTTATATATTGAATATTGAAGCGCGTCTTTCTGCTGCCTACTGATGATAAGTAATAGTCATGCAACATGAAAGCCAGTGAAAAATATTACTTCATAAAGCTTTGCCAATGCGAAACTACAATAGGACAAAGAGAATCTATCGACAATGATATATATTAAAAATTGAAAAAAAAACACAATAGAAAATATTGATAAATATATCATAGTTCAATTGAATATATAGGGTTCATCATGACTTTAACTGTTGAACTTGTAGACACTCAAGTCGAGTACGATTAATGCAATTTTACAATCTCTCGAAAACAGAAGTTGCGACTGACGTCATTGTAGCAGCGCTGCCGCGAACATCTTTGATATTCAAATATAGTTTTTGTGTATTCCAATGGTTTATCTAGAGTGACTTATAAGCGTATATGCTGTTTGGTATTATTGTGTCACGTCCGTTTTATTCAAATATGAAATTAACAATAAAAGACAGAAAATTTTAACAGATACAATCAGTTTAAAATCTAGAGATATTATTATTACTAAAAAAAGCAAAATAATTGTTTTTTTACAATGATGAGTGTCTTCACAATAGGAAATTACAATCGATTCGTCAACATAAATTATTAAGCGTCTTTTTTTTATTGATTTTCATAACGAATCTGGAAAAGAAGTTTATTTTAATGTAGAAAAATATTTTAATGTAAATTTAGAAAATAAAATCCATACTAATTTCCATTTATAGGTTTAAGTAATTACTTAATTTTACTGAAGAAGTGAATAATTGAAAATAAAAAAATCATCATATAAATAATTCATAAGAAAAGACTAGAATGAAAAGTAATTATATTATTAACAACACTTTTGCACTATTTTTCATTTAATTACATTAATTCAATATAATAATCTTGTATACAATAGTACATTTAGTGCGTATGTTACGCATTTGTTCACACTACCGTTAGTATTTCCGGGAGTTCATTGTCAGTCAGAGAATAACTCTCAGTAAATCGTGGCAGAATGACGGCCAGGTGATAGACGATCGCTCAAGTATCGAACTATTACCGATTAATCATCAATATTCGGTGGGTTTTTTATTCGATTTGAATCACATGAGTACTGATACTGTGAGAAAATAAATAAGAAATAACTCGAATGAATGCTCATGCGATAATTTGAATAATTATGCCGGCAAGTCATACTCGTTGAATGAGTATTTTCACTAGTAGTGTAGGCGACGCATCAACGAAGCAAATGGCATGTAATTGCTTCCCATAAAAAAGATGAAAAAATGCAATAAGAGGTTATTACTTCCCTAATAGTTATTTCTCAGTTTTATTTGTTTTATTCTATTTGTATGGCTATACTATTGTGATTTATATTCGACATTTGTCTTCATTATAGAAGCTGAAGGTTGATTAATTAATGTCATATTATTGGAGATATATAAAGAGTACTTTTCTTTTCTTTTTTTAACCGAAATAGAAAGAAGACGGCTAGCAGCTTTGTGTCTTATGTTATTTTTGACCGTTTACCATTGTATGATTAGCTTCTAGTGTATTAGTTAAGTGTCTGAAATTGAAGTTTCTTATTATTGCATTAAGAAAAAAAAGTAACTTCATTATAAAAAAGAATGTAATACATATATATTAGTGCAGCTATGAATACTGCTATTGTGAATATAAATGAAACAATTATATTAGGTGAAACTTATCATACAACGTTAGTGCCACTACCTTGAAAGTGTGGGTGTAAGTGTTATTCTTCTGTGCATTCATCCACCTATGCACCTAACAGATGAAGAGAAACTATCTATCCCATCTTTAGTTTTATGCAGAACATGGTTTTAAAATTGATTTAAATGATATTGTAAATGAATTTGTATCGAAAAATAAACTAATTTCTTCAAGACTTTAACTGAAGTATTTTTTCATAATTATGTGTCTAGAAAAATATACTTTTTCCCTGAGAAAGTTTAATTTACATCGCCTAACTAAGGTAGTCCATTATATTTTTTCTATTTGCGGAAGAGAATAACCTGTGTTCATTGAAGTATATACTTAATGCACTTTCAATAATTATTTTTATTTGAGAACAATTTAGAGATGTAGCCTTTGCAAAAAAACTCTAGAAAATTTTAGAATAACTCTCCAAACGGCAATTATAAAATTTTGATTCGTTGATTTTTTTTAGTTTATGTTAGGAGAAAATAGGAAAAAAATTTCATGACGACCAATACGAGCGCGGCAAATATACAGAAGCTCCGAACATAGGCGGCGCGCCATAGTGGTGAAGGGTCTCCGCTGCAGAAAATTAGCAGTAGCAATAAAAAGTTATTGCTTCCCCTAATAATCCGTATTCTGGTGGTTATTTGAAGAATGTTTATGCATCATGAGAGTTGTTTTATTTCTGTCCAAGAGTCTTCTTTCATCATATATCTTCGACATCTATCCTTGTCAAATTTAAGGTGGATTAGCATTATATGATTTGAGAAAAACAAGGACCATTATTTCTATTATTTTCCTGCTACATCAGGAAACTCTCGAGCAGCTTTCGTTCCTGTGTAATCTATCCGATTTTCTTATGATTTAATAGTCAGGCTTCCATATATTTGGCAAATATCTGATAAAAGTAAACTTATATTATTTCACAAGAAAACCAGAAAACTTACTACAAGAGTCATGTAATACATCTTATAGTTAGGGGTCTGCAAAGTGGTTCCGGTTCTGGCAGGATTGGAACCGAGATGGGGACTAAAGTTTCAATTTTACCGGGATTTAAACTTTTTTAGGCTGCTCCCGGTCAGCTTATTTTCGTCAACTATTATACAGCAATATTTTCGTATTTTTTACTCTGTTTTAATCGAAAAATTGTAAATCGACTGTTTTTGTTGTCTAATCAAATACAAGCCTTTTACAGGTTACGATCATGTTACTAAATATTGGGTTTTTTTGGAAACTTGAACAGTTTTCCGGATATGCAAAACATAATTTACAAAGATTCTATTCTATAGCAGTGGAAACATTTCCTTATATGTAGAATGTTTTATCATTGTTCTGCTATTTTTAGTGTGAATTGCTTAGTTTTGTTGTTATACTCATCGTTGTTTGAGAAAAACTTTGTTACTTGTTGGGAACAGAAAAATAAAACTTAGGCTTAGGTTTAAAAAAAAAATTCCGGAACTAGTTCTCAAAATAGAAGTCCTAGTCTTCCAAATCCTAACGTATTTTTTCCGATAACAGACATTATTTTCCCCTCGAATAGTACTATACCGGCTGACATGTACGAAGGGCATGTGTAACCTGAGGAAAAACCGATTTTAAGTCTTTATATATTTGAAAACAGAAAGTTTTAGCTATAATCAAGATCGGAACTGGATCGGGACTGAGACGGAAAAAAAGAGTCATTTTGAAAATCTCTACCTATATTGCAACTACAATGGACAATTCCAGTTCACGTATGTGAATGTGAACGAAGTTTTTCATCCTTAAGAAGACTTAAAATATACATTCGAAATATAATAGATCACGAAAGACTATCCAGTTTATCTTTAATATGTATTGAACGTAACTTTGATATTGATTCAGATACTATTGTAACGAAATTTATATCAAAAAACACAGATAGAAAAAAAAATATTTTGAACATCAATAAACTGATTATATGTAGGGTTTGAAATAGAAAACTTATGATTATTATTGTCGCTTTAGAAAATTTATTGCTTCTTCTAGAACATTTAGCTTGCGCCACCAATGGCTCCGGAAAATCATCGTAACCCTGAGTTCATTTTTTTAGAAATCATTATTGATTAATATGAACTATAAGTGCAATGAATTCAATGACCCATGCTGCACTTTTATAACAACTTATACAGACAAAAACGTCATGTTCATTGTAAATCAAACAAACTTTGGCTAATTCAACTAGTTTTCCATCATCGAAGGGAGCCCTTCGCTTCACTCTCAATATCGCCAGATATGTACTTTTAAAGAAGAATTGATACATGATTTTGTCCAGATGTTAACCATAAGATCTTACGGGACATTTTTACATCAATATGTCATTTTCTCTCGTATTGTTCGTCATGAAGAGTTACTATTTAACTCACAAGTAGTTCACACAGTTTGCAATAAGGAAAGTCTCACGGGATATTAAATGTGACAACTATAGTTCTTCATTTTTATATTCTAGATTCTAATGAGAGTTACAATGCAAAGAAATTTGTTTTTTTTCTTTTGTTAAAGAAAGATCGCGAGTTCATTTCTCCATCATTTGAGACCATATTCAATTTTCTCTATAAATCTGTTTGAGATTAACCTAGGTTTTCAATCGCGCGGAAAAAAACTAACGGATATCTGTCATTTCGAATGTTATCAAAATTTATTTAGCAAAATGTAATAAGAGCTGACGAGGATAAAACTCATATTTTCAATCAATACATGGCACAAAAAATCACGATTTTGACAGTTTTAATATTCATAACTTGAGAACTATATACGATTAAAAAGAAAACCAGAATTAATTGTGAATATCTGTTGAAAATTAAAACGATACGAAGAGACCGCAAATTCCTCTATATATTAGAGCCCTACGCTTTCGGTTCGCAAATAGGGGTGGCACTTTATCTTTCCTCTATCGAGTAAAATAAAGTAGGTCTACTTCATCCGAAAAGTGAAGTAAAGTCAAGTGAAGTATATCTTACTTTACCGAACAAGTAAGATGAAGTAAAATAAGATAAAGTAAAGTGTGTGGTTGATGATTATTGATTTATTAGTTCATTATCACATATTAATCACATTCGAATATGTCAAACGTTGTGTCGAACTACGGATCGGAAGCGTCGAAAAATCTGAACCTAATTTGATTACCTTGAGAACCAGCATTGAACCCTGACTTTTTTCATACTTTTATTTTCTACTTTATCATAATCCAGTTTTTTACACCGAGGTTTCCCCTCAAGTATTGAAAAAAAATGTTTTTGTCGCTGCTCTATTACAAATCTTCATAATTTAATAGTACCAAGTGCGTTGATTACAAATAACTCATTTGTTTTCAAAAGTACTCAGATAATAAGAAAGAACAGAAGAGCTCCCTAACAGCATTAAAAAGCTGCTAGCGCAATCCTTGCAGGATTAAAATATGAAACACAATGGACCCATTGTTACTAATTCCTCTAAAACTAATCTCTTCTTCTCTATATATTGGTGGATATTTCTTTATTAATGCTGACTTTACAGTATAGAACTTCAACCACGAAATGCTCTACATATACTCCAGTAACATATTAATTCTACATGGTTTCCGATAGTTCCTTGAAGTCTGTCTGTCACGGTCTGTCAGAGAGGGGAAGGAAATGTGTCCAAATTTGTACTCTATACACTTCAACACCTTTGGAATTGTGCTTCGCAGAACCAGGTTTTGACCAGAAAGTTCATTAAAATACGATTCTATTTCGTCGAAAATAGATACATTTTACGCAGAATTTTTTTTCTCGATCAGAGAATATAAAAACCTGTTGAATATTTGATTTTTTTATATCGATAATTGGCAAATACTGCCCTGCTTGGGTCATATTGTCTCTCATAATATGTTTTCAGCTTCATGCAATTATAGTTTCTACAGATGCAGCTGTTAGATATCTTAATCAAATATGCAGCTCGATGTGCTTTTCTGATGACACTATTTTCTACCTGAAATTCCATATCTAGTAAAAGCACTTTTTCTCAAAACCTTATCCTAGAAAGCCTGTTTGCGTCTTTTTTTACTAATATTCTATAATTTTCGAAAAGAAAAACCGCATTTGATTTCAGATAGGTGTCATATTTGAAATCTATACCCAAAACTCAGTCGATCTATGTGAGTCAGAGATGCTGACTGAGTCGGGTTGGTAGGAATACCCATTGGGTTGGAGCTTCCATATGTTAGCCCTAGCCTCAAGCTCGTAGCTTGAGCAGACCATTTGTATACTTTCAATATTGACTCACCAATAAAAAGCTTCAGATAGATTTTGTGGATTAACCTACGAGTCATCTTTGGGATAACCCATTAAATCTGTCATATTTCATAGAAATTAGCTACAAAAAAGTTTGTTTGATGACCGTGTCGTCACAGTACGAATTTTCAGTCAAGTCAAATCCATTATGACTTCGATGAAACGAATGTGGTCGTATTTTAATGAGCTTTCTGGACAAAAGTTGGTTTTTAATGCTGTTAGGGAGTTCTTTTGTTCTTTCTTATTATCTAAGTACTTTTGAAAACAAATGAGTTATTTGTAATCAACGCACTTGGTACTATTAAATTATAAATTCTTGTAATAGAGCAGCGAAAAAACCTTTTTTTCAATACTTGAGGGGAACCCTCGGTGTAAAAAACTGGATTGTGATAAAATAGAAAATAAAATTATGAAAAAAGTCAGGGTTTAATGCTGATTCTCAAGGTAATCAAATTAGGTTCAGATTTTTCGATGCTTCCGATCCGTAGTTCGACACAACGTTTGACATATTCTAATGTGATTAATATGTGATAATGAACTAATAAATCAATAATCATCAACTACACACTTTACTTTATCTTATTTTACTTCATCTTACTTGTTCGGTAAAGTAAGATATACTTCACTTTACTTTACTTTATTAAAGTAAAGTAAAGTTAAAGTGTCACCCTATTTGCAAAAATTGAAAAAGCCGGTTCCAATTTCAGTTCCTGAAAAGAGTCCTTGGAACCGTTGATTTATTTATATTATATTAAATAGCTAATGAAAGTGTTTTTAGAAATTGCTGTCTTCCATTTTCCAAACTTATTATTTTTATTAAAAAAATTTTTTTTTTCTTCAAACAATACAACAAAAAGAAAAGGAAGTGGATGTTGATAGGTTCTTCACCCAGACCGAAACTCATACTCTGCATCCACACCTTAGTTTCGATTCGATTTTCGGTTTCATTCTTTTTTGTCAACCGTAGGAGTCTACCATATATACCGTTGGATAGAAGAAATCTTTCTTTGCAAACCTACATATATCCCATTCTCTAGTCAAAATAATATAACCGCCTTTTAGGAAGTTATGATTGAAAGTCCGAGAATTTTTTACAAGGGCTAAACAAATTATTATTTTTTATTTGATTTGACATAGTGGCGTAATCCGAAGATCGTGTTTAGTAAGACATTGCTCTATGATCTTGAATGAAATCAATGAAAAATGCTGTCGATGAAGATAAGGATTATGTTTTTCTTTCTAGGTGGTAGAATCGCTTCCGACCTAGCGTATTCCTGGTTACAACATCAGTTTGGAATGTACATTGCATCATATAATTTTACCATTGTTGCAATAGAGAGAAGATTATACTATTACCTAATCTTATTCTGCAATACATGTTGATAGCGCCATCTACTCTAGATATCATTCGATTCGTTTTTTTTTCTATATTCGGTGAGCTTCGTCATCACTACTATCCATCCATCGATCGATTGACCTACAGTTCATCATTCCACTATTTCTCTATCGAACATTCTATTTATTTTTCCCTTGATTAGTCATTGTTTATTATCTATAAAAGCATTGCATAATAAAAACGAAAGAAAAGATTCCAGAGTATTTAATAATATTTTAACCAGTGATATTGCATCATACTTTCTACTTTTTCTATTAATAGATCACTCATTTCAACTCAATAAATATCCGTGAAATATATTCATCAAAATATCATAGCATCAATGTCTTCATCGGAAATTCGTCAAACATTTATTGATTTTTTTACCAAAAACCATGGACATTTATATGTTCATTCATCATCAACCATTCCACTTGATGATCCAACATTACTTTTTACTAATGCTGGAATGAATCAAGTATACATTTTCTTTTTAGTTTATTTTTAATAAAAAAAAAAGACTTATTTTTTTACTTTATTATAGTTTAAACCATGTTTTCTTGGTACAGCTGATCCAAATAGTGATATGGGAAAATATAAACGTACAGCAAATAGTCAAAAATGTATACGTGCTGGTGGTAAACATAATGATTTAGATGATGTTGGAAAAGATGTTTATCATCATACATTTTTTGAAATGCTTGGAAATTGGTCATTTGGTGATTATTTCAAAGAAAAAGCTATTGATATGGCATGGGAATTACTTGTTGGTGTATTTAAATTAGATCCAAATCGTTTATATGCAACATACTTTGAAGGTAGTGCAAAAAATAATCTTCAACCAGATACTGAAACACAACTCTTATGGAGAAAATAGTAAAATTTATGCAGTTGTTATTTTCTTTTTATTTTCTTTTTTGCTTTAAATTTTTATAGTTTATCAGAAGATCATATACTTCCGGGTAATATGAAAGATAATTTTTGGGAAATGGGTGATACAGGTCCATGTGGTCCATGTACAGAAATACATTTTGATCGAATTGGTGGTGGTCGAAATGCAGCTCATCTTGTTAATCATGATGATCCAGATGTATTAGAAATTTGGAATCTTGTATTTATTCAATTTAACAGGTTTGTTTTTTTTTCTAATGAATTTTTTTTCATGAATATTTTTATTTTTTGTTTTATAGAGAAAAAGATGGTTCATTACGTGAATTACCAGCTAAACATGTTGATACCGGTATGGGTTTTGAACGTTTAGCATCAGTTATACAAAATAAACGTTCAAATTATGATACAGATATATTTATGCCTATATTTGCTGCTATTGAAAAAGTAAAATATTTATATAAATAATAAGAATTATGCTTTTTTTTATCATTAAAAAATTTATTCAATAGGGAACTGGTGCACGACCATATACAGGTAAAGTCGGTGTTGACGATCAAGATAAAATGGATATGGCTTATCGAGTTGTTGCTGATCATATTCGAACATTAACCATTGCCATTACTGATGGTGGACGACCGGATAAAACAGGACGTGGGTAAGTATCATTTTAAAATTTTTTTAGAAAACCAAAAATAGGATACACCTGTCTAGCAATAGAATCAATAGTGTGGTATTTTTCTTACAACTAATACTAGCTGTAGATCTGAGCAAAAGTTCAAATGGGTGATTGTATGTGTCGAACTACGTAGCCACTCAACCATAGCGGTGAAATTTGATTAATTACATAAATTTTCAGATTTCAAAAAGCAATGGTTAGATATTATTGTTTATACTTGTTCGCTTTCGTCTTCATTCATCTGTGTCCATTTTTATGATAATTTATCGTTTATGTCACGACTACTTGTACTTTGATCGTGGTAAACGTATAATATACGAATGACAAATAAAAGAAGTACAGCTGACATTGCAATTAAGTGAATGCTTTTTTTTTGTTTGTATAATCACAACCCATAAATAATATTGTCGATGATAACGATCAGAAAAATGAAGATTGAAGGTCGATATTTTATTAAAGAAAGTGTAGGTCTACAGTGCTCAGATAGTATCTGTCGTTCTTACTAAAATATATATTTACGGCAAGTGTTCTTTTAGATAGAGCTAGATATCAAAGACGAAGTTTCATTTTAAAAAAATGAGATTAATAGTTAAATAGTTTTTGAATTTCACTTTTTGTCATATGAATAGATCTTACAAATATTTCCATTGAATTTTCGAAACATAGATTAATTTATACAGCATGAAAATTGAAAAGGAAATTTCTACAATTCAACATATTTGTAATGCAAAACTGACGAGGAAAGACTTCCAAACGATAAATCGCTTTTGAAATACAACTCTGTGCATCACGCAGAGATAAATGAGATTCGAATATTCTGAAAAAGATTCAAGCTCTTAGCTTATTGCTGCGAATATATAGCATTCTTACAGTAATTTTTGAATAAATACCGTAGTTTCTCTTAGGAACGTACTGGAAAATCTGATTTTTCCATTTTGACTTGAGACTTTGTAAGAAGATAGACTTTAATTAGAATAATTTATTGTTAAAGTTTCAAATCTGTTGATTTGCTTCTAGTCTGAAATTAGAACATAGAATTTACCGTTTTATATATAGAGACATAAATGATAGGCTTTTATTATAGCTACATCTTAAAATAGGAACAACCTCCAGGTCTGAAATATTCATAAGAAATTATTCGCATCAAAGACTATCTCTATAAAAAGTTAGAGTCGGAATTCGAACACCATCCTTCCCAGTGTTTCCGAATGAAAACACCGCATCTATTTAAATATTAGCACAAAACTGCAGTATCTCCGCAGCAATAAACTCAGGGCACATAGTTTCTACCCAAAGCGATTTATTAATTGAAAGACATCCGTCGCGAGTTATTTGTCTAAAAAGAGCAGGTCTCAGTAAAGAGCTAAGACAAGCTTAACACGATCCGAACCCATTGTCTACTGATGAAGAATTATGGTTGTTTAAGTGCAATTTAGACTTTCAATGAGATCGAACATGACTTTCTCGAGATATTAAACATCCAAATAAGCAGTGGTTTATGATAGAAGGACCATAATTGGTTCGTTTTCATTGAAAGTTTCAGGACAATCTAATAATGCCTATAGGTAAAAATGTCATTTAAATGGCCATAACTCATTAGTAGGTCGTGTATCCGACAGTTTAGTAGAATCTCAAAATTGAGAATTACTTCAATAGATAAATCTGCTTTTATTTAGTACTTTGCAATAATAAAAACAATGAAACAAAGGTATTTTACACAATCATTTGTTTTTTTGTATTTTTTAGTTATGTTCTTCGACGTATTCTTCGTCGTGCAATACGTTATTCATCAGAAAAATTACAAGCCAAACCTGGTTTTCTTGCATCACTTGTTGATGTTGTTGTTGAAAGTCTTGGTTCATTTTTTCCTGAATTACGTAAAGATCCACAATTAGTTAAAGATGTTATTAATGATGAAGAACAACAATTTTTACGTACATTAACACGTGGTCAACGTTTACTTAATAAAACAATATCATCATTAGGAAATACAACAACATTTCCTGGTAAAACAAACAAAAAATTATGTTTCGAGAAAAATTCGAATTTCGTTCGTTTTTGAAATTTTTCATAGGTGATATTGTTTGGCGTTTGTATGATACATATGGTTTTCCAGCTGATTTAACACAATTAATGTGTGAAGAACGTGGTTTAGCATTTGATATGAATTTATTTGAAGAAGCTCGACAAAAATCTTTAATTGCTTCACAACAAACTAGTGGTGAACAAGCTCAAGGTTAATATTTTTTTATTTTCAATAGAAATTTTTTGTTTTTAATAAACTATTTTCTTTTTGTTTTATATAGTTCAATGTACACTTGATGTACATGCTATTAATGAACTTAAACAATCAAAAGGTTTGAAACCAACTGATGATTTACCAAAATATGATTATACATGTGATGAACATGGAAAATATGGTAAAAAAAAAGAAATATATTTTTTCAATGATTGAAGATATACTTAGTGTTTTTTGTTAATTTTAGTTTTTCCATCAATTCAAGCAACTATTTTAGCAATACGTAGTGGTCAAAAATTTGTTGATTCAATTAGTTCAGGAGAAGAATGTGGCCTTGTACTTGATCGAACATGTTTCTATGCTGAAGCTGGTGGACAAACTTATGATGAAGGTTACATTGTTAAAGAAGAGGATGAAAATGTTGAATTTCAAGTAAGAATAATTATCTTATTTTAAATATTGAATAACAAGACTATCCCTCTGCTTTGGTACAACAGTATTAAAAAAAAAAAGAAGTTTCTTTATTCAATAAATGCATCATTTCCAAATTTCTTAATTAAATTCTGTCTAGTGACATGTTAGAAAAGTCACTCTTACGTACTTGTCCATCTGGGATTGGATTCTAATTATTGATTGTAATAATAAAAAAAAACATACAATCGCATTAATTTAAAGTCCTTTTCAAATCGCTTACTGAACTTCTCAGCTATTATTAGATCATAATAAGAGTAAACTAAGACAATATATATATGTATATCATAAACCTATTATAGAACAAATTTTGAAAATTTTCTCTACAATAAAGCAAATCTTATTGAAAACAATTTATTACTTTCGTATTGAATTAAATTTTAGGTTCGTAATGTTCAAGTACGTGGTGGTTATATTCTTCATGTTGGTGTTGTTGAAGGTACATTACGTGTTAATGATAAAGTACGTTTAACAATTGATGATTTTCGTCGACATTTAATCATGAAAAATCATACTGGTACACATATACTTAACTATGCTTTACGTGCTATACTTGGTGATACTGTTGATCAACGTGGTTCATTAGTTGCACCAGATCGTTTACGTTTTGATTTTAGTTCTAAAGGAGCAATGACACTTGATGAACTTAAACAAACAGACCTTATTTGCAATAAAATGATTGAACAATCATTACATGTTTATGCTAAAGATGCATCATTAGAAGAATCTAAACGAATTGATGGTTTACGTGCTGTTTTTGATGAAACATATCCAGATCCAGTACGTATTGTTTCGATTGGTGTATCAATTGATGATTTACTTAATAAACCACCTAAAGCTACTGGACGGGAATATTCAGTTGAATTTTGTGGTGGTACTCATTTAAAAACAAGTAAACATATTGATCAACTGATTATTGTTACTGAAGAAGCTATTGCCAAAGGTATTCGACGTATTGTTGCTGTTACTGGTCCTGAAGCAGAAAAAGTAAGTTGAATTTAAATGAATAAAAATTTTATATTGATCAAAAGACTGTTAACATATAACAGTGTTTTGAATTTTGATAGTTTCTAGAGAGAAAAAAGTTTATTGATAAAAATATCGACAGGTTGAGATATTATTCGAATTGTGTCGTAATATGAAAGATCGAATTGACTGATTTAAGCTATGAATAGCGTCTAGTCATGTTGAGCTATAATCAACAGATGAGTATTCTAATGTTTCCATTGGTTAGATTTTTTTCAAACTAACAAGGAGCTTCCTCAGATACTCGCTTCGATTTCAAAAATTTTTTGTCTATAGACTATGCATACCATTTGAGTAAAAAAAGCATTTGGATTCTTATTGATATTTGACTTGGATATCAAATTATTAATATGTTTATTCTCTAAAAACGTCTGTAGGACACTACTCGTATTATCGAATTTCGATCTGAAACTTTGTCTATATAGAGGATATAGATCTTTTTCTTCCATAGATGGTACGTGGACCAGCATATTTTTGAACTCTATATCCTGAAGCAACTTTATTGAAAACTTTTGAAATTTTTCATGAAGATCCGTATAGTTAGGTCTGGAAATATGCAGAGTCTACTTAGTTTCTCTAGACAATAATTCATTGAAATTCGATGGAGGATTGTGAAGGTTCCCTTGTAAGTCGTTTTATTAAATGATAGGTCTATTCACCCAATTTTTATGTATACGAGAAACTTTCGAAGCAGTCATCTCTAATTAAAATATTAAAATTTAGTCCTTCTTCTACGTGTAGAAAGACATTACGCGATGATTATTTTTTCTCATTGCTTCATTTCAATGATTTCGGACACACACTCACCCACTTCTATTGATTAATGAACACAGCTCTCGTATTTGGTCTCAACATGATCCGTTTTTAGTTGTAACGCACCTACCGACACTTACTGTGTGATGCGTAATATCAAGCAAACTGATTGTTGGGCCATTTGTTTAACGATGCAGCAATATAACATTAGACATTAGTAAATTGCCCGAAGACTGTTTGCTTCTAACTGACCAACAAGCTTGATCATCAGTATTTTAGACGAGATGTCCTGCTCTCATAAGTTTTCCAGAAATGAGTCTTAATTTCATAAACATATTTTCGATAAAATTATTATTTTTATTTAATAAATTTTTTAAAAATCTATCTTTAGTGTACGAAAAGAGCTGATCAGCTTGATGATTGTCTTCAAGATTTATCACGTCGTGTACGTGATTCATCATCATTAAATACAACATCAATATCATCACGTTTAATGTTTAATAAAGAAATATTTCAATTTAATGAAAATATATCACAAGCTAATATATCACAATGGCGTCGTGAATCTCAACGTAATCAATTAAAAGAATTAAAAACAATATTAATTGAATTAGATAAAGCTGATAGTAAAAATCAAATAACTAAAGCTGTTGAACAATGTCGAGATATTTTAACTAAATATCCTGATCGTAAATGTTTAATAGCCAATTTTGAAATGGGTAATGATACAAAAAATTTAAGTACAGTTATTAATCAAATACGTACACAATCAACAGATGTTGCTATTATGTTATTCAGTGTTGATCATGCAACAGATAAATTTGTTTGTCTTGCAAGTGTATCTGATGTATGTAAATTAGAAAAACAAAAAAAAAAATTATTAAAACTAATCATTTTCTTATTTAGCAACAAGTTAAAGAAAAACACTTAAAAGCTAATGAATGGGTACAAAAAGTAATTGGAGACGCAAATGGTCGTGGTGGTGGTAAAGATACTCAAGCTCAAGGAACAAATTGTGATGCTACACGATTGGATCATTGTGTTCAATTAGCAGAAGAATTTGCACTTCTTAAACTCAATTCGAGTAGTTAAAGACTAAAGACAGGAAAAAAAATTTACATTTCATCATATTCTGAAGTTTTATTCCGGTTGTTTAACACGTTTGTTCTTTGAAATAAGAAATTTAAAAAAAAGTGACGAATAAACAAGAAAGGAAACAAGTTTCTTATGTTTCTTTGTTTTTTTTTTGATAAAGTAAGAAAGCTAATGTCGATACGTTCAGTGAGAATTTTAATCAATTCGTTTATTAACCGTCCATACACACACTTCAGATCATTTACTAAGTCATCTTGCCTTTTCAACAAATCAACAGCATCATACCGATATCAACGTGAATTTACAAAACGTGAAGGTAATCTACATAAACAATTAATTCAACGATACATGGCTACACCAATGAACGATGAAAATATTGAAAAAATTCTTGAACCATTCCGAGCAGCAGTTAAAGTTCAAGTAAGAGAATAAAAAAACATAATATTTTTTTTGCAAATCTTATGTTTTTATTATTATAGGGCGATCTTGTTAAACAAATGAAAGATAGTAATGTAAACAAAGAGGATGCGGATTTTAAACAAGCTTTAAATGAACTTAAAATACGAAAAAAAGCACTCGAGGATCAAGTAAAAGAGAAAAAACTGAAACATACATTCATTAATTACTAAGTTTTATTTTTTGTTTTCTTTGAGATTACAAAATGTATGCCAAAAGAAGAAAGTATTGATCGATTAAAAATGGAAGATTTACTTAAACGAAGATTTTTTTATGATCAATCATTTTCAATCTATGGTGGTGTTAATGGTCTTTATGATTATGGTCCAATGGGTTGTGCAATAAAAGCTAATATGTTAGCAGAATGGCGTCGACATTTTATTCTTGAAGAACAAATGCTCGAAGTCGATTGTTCGATATTAACACCAGAAATCGTTCTCAAGTATATAATTGAAGGCGACTATTGTGAAACATGATCTAAACAGAGTGTTGAAGTATAAGAGTAGAAATTTGGACTCACTCTCCCTCCAGACGTTACAGACCTTTTAGGAACAACTCACCACAAACGTAGCACGAGATGCAGAGTCTATCATAAAAAAGTGAAAACTTCCCTGAGAGCGAAGATGGCTTCAAGAATCTTCATAGATTCAACAGTATCCTCAAACACAATAATTTTTCGAGAATCTTCTCTGAATATGCGATAATGCACAGTAGTAGATTCTACACCTGTGATTGTGACAGACAATTCTCTGAGCCCATTATAGACCGCCACAGACGCTCGTCAGGGACCATTATAAACTATGACTGCCGTTTTAGCAACGTCCCCTCTCTTCTTCACAGACGTTGCTGATATACCATCAAAGGCTATATATCAATAAAATTTAGCTATAATATATGAACTACTTCCTTATTGTATTGCTGGAGGATTAAGTAAAATACTGTTGAAGAAATATGTCTTAAAATAGATAGAATACAATAATCTCCTTGTTATTAGAGGCAGTAGCTACATCGTGTTTTACATTTTAATCCCATAGGTACTGTACTAACAGCCTTTTCTTTACAGAGCATCAGGTCATGTTGACCGATTCGCTGATTTTATGGTTAAAGATGTTAAAACAGGTGAATGTTTTCGAGCCGATCATTTAATTGAAGGTAAAATAAATTTAAGAAACTTATTTTGTTTATTTATTTATTGCGTTTAACAAAAGCTCATCTTGAAAAATTACTTAAAGCAAAAGATATAACTAGTGAAAAGAAAGCTGAAATTGAACGTTTATTACCACAGGTAGGTTTTTAAATATTACGAAAAAAAGAAACTCAAACAAATTTTTTTATGTTTAAATAAGATTGACAATATGAAAGGACCAGATATGCAAAGAGTAATTGAACAATACAAAATGAAATCGCCTATAACCAATAATGATCTATCAGAACCTGTTTCTTTTAATTTAATGTTTGCTACTTTGATTGGTCCAACTGGTCAATTAAAAGGGTTAGTCTATTTATTAAATATAGCTGAAAGTAATACTATTGATAAATTTTATTGTTTATTTAGTTTTCTTCGACCAGAAACGGCTCAAGGCATGTTTGTCAATTTCAAACGTTTATTAGAATTTAATCAAGGTCGTTTACCATTTGCTGCTGCTCAAATTGGTAATTCATTTCGAAATGAAATTTCACCACGTTCAGGTTTAATTCGTGTTCGGTATGTTATCTTTACTTTTCCGAAACAGATCAAAATATAGAAAACATGCATTTGAAAAAAATCAATGGGCCAAATCACACAATCAAACGAACAGCCAACTATCTGAAGAATTGTATTGACTGATTATGTGATTAGCAAGTCGAGTTTAAATTGAGCAGCATCCATAAACAAACAGCAGCTTCTAGAATATAATCTGATGGGAATTATTAGAATTTCCCTATAAATCCTGTTATATATGTTATCATCAAACGAAAAAAAACTAGGCTGAGGCTGAGGATGAAGGATGATTCCTCAGAGCTATGGGTCTTTTTCTTGATATAGTTAAAATGTATTATAAGTTATCAAATGGATATGTTTAGATAAATCCGATGGTCTAAATAAATTCCGACCGCCACGAATTTAGCTTAACGATTCATTGAATCATTCTCCATTTGATTGTTGAAGACAGACATCCTTCTATATCTGTGTCGTGCTCATTTTCTGATATAGTTTATAATCAATGAGATTTCACATTTTGTTATCGAGGTGGCATGCATGTCAGAAGTAGGATCAATTCGGTTCACAACTGTTCAAATCGATCCCATCTCTAGTGCATATCTAGTTAAGAGACAGAAAAAAAATATCTATAATTTTTTAGATTTTTGCGTAAAAACCTAAGATATATATATATGATTGATAAAATGCCTCATTATTTAACAAAACTGGAAATGAATCAGCATTTTAATTTATTATTTTGAAATGATGTGACAAAGTCAATCATAGAATCTCTAATCATTCACTACTTCAATGTACGCTATCGAATCCATGAATAATTTTGTTTTTAGTGAATTTACTATGGCTGAAATAGAACATTTCGTTGATCCAACTGATAAGAGTCATCCAAAATTTGAAACTGTTGCCAATCTTGAAATTCAATTATATTCTGCATCAAATCAAATGAGTGGTGAATCACCTCAATTAGTACGTTTAGGTGATGCTGTTCGTACAAAATTAATTAATAATGAAACTCTTGGTTATTTTATTGGTCGTATTTATTTATTTATGACCAAAGTTGGTATTGATAAAACTCGATTACGTTTTCGTCAACATATGAGCAATGAAATGGCTCATTATGCATGTGATTGTTGGGATACAGAATGTAAAACGAGTTATGGTTGGGTTGAATGTGTTGGTTGTGCTGATCGATCATGCTATGATTTAACACAACACACTAAATTTAGTGGTGAACGTCTTGTTGCTGAAAGACCATTACCAGCACCCAAGAAAATAGAAGTTAGTGAAGTACAAGCACATGCAAATGTTATTGGTAAAACATTTGGTAAAGATACAGGTGTAATAACGCAACATTTACAAAAATTATCTCATGATGATGCACGAACTTTACATGACAAACTTGAAAAAGGGTAACATATATTTATATCTTCTGTAGGGAAAAAAGAAAATGATATTTTTGTAGAATACGATCCAAAGGGTGTATTAACGAATATAGGAAGAATATTTGCACCATCCCCATAGCCCGTTAGGAAACTTTAAATGAATTATAGAGTATTTTTTTTAATTTAATTATAAAATAATCTAGTTGTTATAGATTTGTATCAAGAGTTTCAATAGAGTCTACCAAGGTCTATCAGAGTATAGGTATAGTTACATTCACATTACAGCTCTCTACAGTCCGTATATCAAGAACGTTTCATTAGAATATATGAATTACTTTAGTGTATTTCTGAAAGATTAATAAAATGATCGTGAAACAACTTGATCCATCAATAGATAGAATAAAACACTTTCCTTGTGATTACCAAGAGCAGTTACGTTGTGTTTCATATATAAATCTCGCAAGGATTACACTAACAATTTTTTTATTTATTCTAGCGATGAAAAAGTTACAATTGATGGTAAAGAATATAGTATAACAAGAAAAATGTTTACATTTCGAACATTTGAAAAAACAGTACAAGGTAAATAATTACAAAAACAAAATCTTCTTATATGTTTATAATATATGAATTATAGTCGAAGAATATGTTCCATCAGTTATTGAACCCTCATTTGGTATTGGTCGCATAATGTATGCTATGTGGGAGCATAACTTTCGAATTCGACCGGAAAGTGAACAACGAACAGTAATTAAAACTTTTTCTCTTTTATTTTTATAAATTTTTTATTAAAACATTGTTTAGTATTTTACATTACCACCATTAATTGCACCCTATAAATGTGTTATTTTACCATTGAGTGGAAATGAAGAATTTAAACCATTCGTTAAAGATATTTGTAGGTTTCATTTTTCTTGGTTTTTTTTTGTGATCATTTTTTTTAACTAATGACTTTTATTATAGCTGCTCTTTTAACACACAGTGGTATTACTCATAAAATCGATACAAGCAGTGGTAGTATTGGCCGACGTTATTCACGTTCAGACGAAATAGCTATACCATTTGCAATTACAATTGATTTTGATACACTCCAACAACCGTATACAATCACATTACGTGAACGTGATACATTTAAACAAATTCGTGCTAAAGTAATTTTCTAAGTTCACTCCTTAAAAAATCGATCTTGAGCCAATGGCTTTCAAATCATATAAAACTTTCAGAATATGTTTAGACTTTAGTAGAGAAGCTATGATAAACTTTTTTTTAGTCCTATATCATTACGTTTTCGAGAGATATTTCACAAACTAGAGTTAAAACTAGTTTATTTGTTTTCTGTGGATTCTCGTTCTATAGATTTATTGTTTGATTTTTTTGAAAGAACATGTCAAACTAAAGTTTCCTTTTTGTTTTTTATAATTCTTAGTTTTTCTACGAAGAGCAAAGATAACAAGTCTAGAACCTCGAAAAAATGATCAACTATTAATAGAAGTACTTTTTTATATAATAATAAAAATAGCTTTATTCAAAAAAAAACGGGTACTTGGGAGTCACGTGCTCTTTCCACACAAAACTTGAGTACAATGAAGTTCCTTCGAGAATTTTGAGATGCACTCATCTAAAGAAAAAAATAATTTCCCGCTTTTTCTGAAAAATCAGCGTATTTTTCAAGTGGATAATGACAGAAAGAAGTGCTGAATAGCAAAAAAAACATCATGTCGCTTATTAAAAATCAGACCACAGACTATGATCTCAATTTCGATTTCTTTTTTGATGCAAATTGATTTTTTTTGTAGGGTTGCCTTAAGAGACACTACATTCTTTAATTTTTTTTTGATTATATTTTATAGATTGATGAAATAACAAATATTCTTCAAGGCCTTTCAAGCGGTACAATAACTTGGGGTGAAGTATGTTCGCATTATCCAGAATTTATTGAACAACAAACAACCCACGCACAACAATAATTTTTCAAAAATATCGGACTGTTACATTGTTATTGTTATCCATCTGTCTTTTCTTTTTGCATAGTCCGATGTTTTTTTTCTTTTTTTGTCTTTGAAAAAAAAATAAAAAAGAATCATATTTAACAATCTATAAAAACCAGCTGGTGCCTTAAACTAAAGAAAAACACAAAAAGTTTAAGAAAAAGAAACTACAAACTCATATGTAACTTATCAATAAGAAAATAGAAGAATTTATTTCTTCTATATTCAATAATTAATGGTTGATATATTAAGAAATAATTTCAGCGAGGTAAGAATAATTATAGGCTATCGATATATATATATATATTTCATCAATTTTATGGATGTATAAATTATATACACCTGTAGATGCAATAAAAGAAAAAGGATAATGTCGAAAATAAGCAGCATTCGTTTTTCGATTAGTTTTGTTATATATAATATATGCAACATTTCTGTTTTATAACTCCATTATATGATCATAGAAGGAGATGCCGACATTCAATGATGATAATCCAGCAAATAAATCACATATTAGTACTAATCAGTGGAAACCTGTTCATGAAACACATCAATCTGGAGAACTGAATAGGCAAAATGTAAAAGACAAATCTGAACATAAACGAAAATGTCGACCAGTTTTAATTAATACATCCACTGCATCGACTAAAGGAAATACATCAAATCACAAAAATCAAGTTCATCAATTAATTGAACGTGCTCGAGAACTTCAAAAAGGAATCGTACCAGATCTTCTTCTCTATCAAATGCCAACAACTTATTCACCATTTTCATCTGTAACACCAAGTTCAAATGTTAGTCGAGGAAGTATATCAGCATATCCATTTCGACAAAGTATATCGATTAGTTCAGGTTCATCAAATTCTTCTACAGTTAATCAAAGATTTAATTTATCATCAAAAATTCTTGAACGTGCTCATAAAATACCTGAAAGGTTAGCTGCAAAAATCAAACACTTATAAATCGTATCTAAGTAATAAATTGACAAAATGTGTTTTTTGTTTTCTTAGATTTTGGATAGATTGGCAACAAAAACAAATGCAAGATCATATAGATGAATGTGAATATATTAAAAATAATATAGATTGTAGTCGACGCTCATCATTATTTTCGAATCAAACTGATGAAAATGCAATAGATATTTCAAAATTAGATTATCCTACTAGTTATGATGAACTTTATCGACAAAGTCTTTTATATTTACAAGAAGCACAAAGATTAGCGAATGAATATCGTGTTAATCTTGCTCGACCGACAGCTACCGATACAATAATACCAAAAAATACTAAAACTATATCTGATAAGTTTGATGAAGATGATAATCACTCTTTCAATTTTGATCAACGATCAGAAGATGCTATGGATACAGTAGAATTAAATGATGCCAATGCAATTCCATCTGGTTAGTATCTGAGTTTTTTTTCGTTGCTGATGGTTGCTTTGTTTATAATCAATTAAATAAATGTTACTTTTTAGAACCATCAACTTCGATTCCAGCTGTTCAACAATTTCAATCAAATGTCAATCATTCTCGTTCGACAATATCATTACCATTTACATATACAAATACACGAGAAGTGCCAATAAGTCGTAATAATTATTGTCAATCATCTATTGAACCAACGCTAGAAAATAACATTGAAGTCAATAATAATGAAGTTATCGAAACAGCTTCATCAAATAATAATAATGATGATGTAGCACAAATAGATACTGAATTTAATGTTACATTAATTAAACGAGAATATCCAAAACAAATCAAACCATTATTATATTCAAAAGCAACTGTCAATCGTAGTATTGAATTTCGTAAATTTCGATCAATATCATGTCAGAATGAAATGACATCATTAAAGAAAAACCAAACAATTTTTATTCCAGTAATGTATTGAAATATTATATCAACTTATGTCGAGAATATCATATTTCATTGATGGAAAAAAAAAGAAAATGAGAATATCTTTGTACTCTGCAAAACAAAAAATAATCGTTTTTTTTTCACGATTTTTTTTATTTTTGTTATATTAGGTATTGAAAAGAAAGGAGATACATGATGATCGATCATATTCGCCGATACACTCCTTTAAATCATCTCGATTAGGATTTTTATCCGATGACCATGGCAAGCATCTTAATGATGATATTCGATCTATTCCAAGTGTGTAGTTTAATTTTTAATTTAAAATTGTTTTCATATGTTTAATGATATTTATCTATATTATTAGTTGTATGAAGATGACACATGATTGCATGCCCTCTGGGCAGGTATTGTTTATTGTACATTACACTAGTTTCGGGATAGGATTCTTTACTTTTTTATTTTATAAATGCACGCATATATCTGGCTGTGGGAACAGTTTATTTTACATTGAAATGTGTCACTTAAGATGTATGCATTATACACAAAACTCTAACAAGAGACTGAGTTAGATAGTTGCATTGTAAAAAGACGAAAAGCATAGTGAAACCTTATATGCTTGGTTTATGTCTTCACACTTTAAAACTATGTCAATAGGAAGCCTATTATATATATTGAATTGAGGTATGGTGATTTTGACGCTGTTGAAATCAGAAAAAAACCACAATAGTATAGATGTGTTATACTTTCATCATCTAAAATAGATACATATATATATTATTCCCTTTTTTTTCATATTTTTAAAAACAATTTATTGATGTTGTCAGTTATTCATTCTTTTTCTTTTCTTTCGTTTCTTCTTTTTCATTTGCTCTTTTCATTTAGTTATATCTTCATTATTCTTTTGTTGTCCTTCACGACTCACATCGTCACATATAATTTCGACAGTCATTCCATATTGTACTTATAATAATTATTATCCTTTACTAAAACAAGTATCATCGCATAAGTGGACTTGTTTCACAATAGATTTATCAATGAACACAGTTTATGATTCAAAAGAAAACGACAAATCTTCTTCATATTCTTCTGACGCATTTATACCGTCGGAAAAAGAAGACAACATATCTTTCTCCCGTTCGTTGTTGACCTCCCGTCGTTGGCAACGAAAACGAAAGCAAAAAACAAATACATCAAATTTATCTCTTGTATCAACAACATCATTAAAAAACAATCTCACATTACTGAGCGATTCATTTTCTTGTGAAAAACAAAATGATAATAATAATAATAACCATACGACTAATAACACGACAACATTGAAAAGTCTTGATAATTCTTCAATTCTTTCCAGTAAAAAAAAATTAGAATGGAAACAGAATGACGGTGGTTTTCAACGAGACATGCTTGTGAACAATAGTGACGACGACGACTATCAACAAGTCATGCGTTCTTTATCATCATCAGCTGCATCGACGGTAGACCGCTTTATTCGTCGTCAGCACAGAAAACAAACAAGGTTGAAAAGGAAAACTAAAAGTAAAAAGAAAAAAAAGAAAAAAAAGAAAAGGAAGAAGGAACGAAACAAAAAATCACCATCATCAACCACTGGAGCAGAAGCGACAGAAGCTTCTTTATTTCAGTATTTTACTGTCGACACTCCTACAATCGACTCGAACGCCATTTTTTATCCCTATGAGCAGGCAAGGTATGCTAACAATAATAGAGCAAAAGAAAAAATTTGCTTTTTAACACAAACATCATTAGAACACCAACAGCAACGACAAAAACACGAGGTACATATCAATATATATATATTTATATATATATATGTAGTTTTTTTCTTTTCTTTCTTTAAATCTTTTCAATTTAAGTCAAAAACATACTACTTAGTGTTTTATTCCTACTTTATTTTTAGTCTAAATCACGTTTAACCATGGCTGATAGTCATGGTAATACGAAGACTTCTAATACAATAATAAACAAAAAAAAAAGTATTCGCGTTTTTATTCGTCGTCGACGACGTACGATTAAACGAGGAAAACGTCGTTTTCTACACACATCATCATCAATCAATTCACATAAACCAATGTCATTATCATCGAATAATGTTCAAGAATTAGTTTCATTAATAGAAAAAAAAATAAATAACAAACAAAATAAATTTCGACATAAGAAAAATATTATTGTTGTTAATTATAAACCTGTTTTTGTTAATACTCATAAAGAACAATCATGTCAAAATACTAAATCAACATCAAACTCAACATCAAGAACAAAATCTACTCATACTGATGATGATTTTGCTTCGACAAATCATTATAGTCGACAACCTAGTATTACAACAATAACATCTGATTGTTCACCATTACGTGCTATGTCAAATAGTTCACATTATCAACGATCGTTTTCACTTGATGTACCTGATGTTGAAGATCCATTAAAATTTATTGAAATAATGTATCAACAATTATTTACTGAAGATGGTCGTTTACGTAGTGAAACGGAACCACTTGCATTTGCAAATTGTGTTCAACAACTAGTAACAAATTCAAGAAGAAATTCTGTATCATCAGCATTTACTAATCGATCAACATCATCATATTTAAAACATGTGAATCATAATACAAATTATCAACAACGAAAATTTTCATCATCTTCAAATCATCATCATCATCATAAACAATCATCAAAAGCTACATCATTGTCTTCATCACCTCATATTATCCTAAGTGAACATTATGATACATATAGTGAAGAAGAAGAAGAAGAAACTCGAACGTTCATGCGAACAAATAATCAACAACAAATAATCAAGAATGATAATGATGTACCCCGAAAGTAAATAGATAATTTTCGTTTTTATTCTATTTTTAAAACAATAATATTATTTATATTTTAAAAGTATTCATAATCATTTTCAAGTTCATACATCTCCAAATTCATATCATCGAAAAGAATTATTAACAAATCATACAACAACAGCAAGTAATGGTTTTCATATATCTATAGATGATACAGGTAGTGATGATCTTGATACATTGTCTGATGTTGATGTTATGCAATTTAATAATATAACAACACAATTGTCACCAAGTGGTGATGAAGATTTAACATATACAGATTCAAGACTTTTATCATCTGGTTATCAATCATTAGATCGTTCAAGAAAATCTTTCCAACAACAACAACAACAACACCAATCAATAAAATTAAAATCTTATTCAGAAAATGATTTCTTTCATTCAGAAAATGAAAATCATATACATTATTGTACAAATTGTATACGTTCACCAAATGTTATTGTAATACCACCTATTATATCAACATCATCATTATTAACAAATATAATTAAACGAATACAACAACCAATTGGAAAGATAATAATGAAATATGTTAATTTTATTCTTATTTCAAAAAATGTTCTACTTTTACCATTATTTATATTTCTTCTACGTCAACGATCAATGCATATAGGAATTTAGAAAAAAAAAAGACAAGAACTTAATTTGATGTAAGATTATTTTGTTTTTTTTTTCCATTGTATCAATTTCATCCGTCCAAGACGTCTTCATTCAATTTTTTTCTTTTATAAATGATCACAAATCTCATAGTTTTATTGTAAATATCTACGACTTTTTATGTTTATTTCAATTAACTGTCGCCGATACCCTATGCAATAATTCAACCATGAACAGAAACAATGATCAAACGATGTAGAACTTTGAATATAAATATTTTTCTTTGCATACTTGATTAACATACCTATGGTTTTACTTTCTTCTTCTTACTTTTTTTTTTCACTTGTACATGATTGATTACGTTGATGATTTTTTTTTTTCAATACTACAATTTCGAGTGCTCTCACTGATGAAGAACAGTAAAAAAAGCTAAATATTGCACATGTACTTTATCTTTAGTTATATAGAAATTTTAACATAATTGAGTGAACGAAAAAATCTTGACAGATAGATTTCTTTTTCTTCTTGATCGTATGAAAACATCTGTACTTTTGAAATCATTCAATTGTATTTATTGAATGCATTTAGATATGAAATATTTAATATACATACATATATATGTATGTATACATACAACTTTTTCAATTATCGTTTGAACCTTAAAAATGAAATAAAATCGTAACATTGACTATGAATTATTATTTTTTTTCTAATTGAAAAAAACAGACAAGGTTATTAAAACTTGAAAATATATTTAAATAAACTTTGATAAAAGTGAGCAGTCGTCTATGAAAACTTGAATCATATAATTACTTTTGGCTGACAGATAACAAATCTTTACGTCTTCATTTTCAAGTTTGTCCCTAGCAAATGAGATGTCTATCAAAAAAGATATGATTATTGACCCGAAAATATATATTATGTTAAAAATTTTTCATGATGAAAGAAAACTTCGATACTATAATATTTATCCGTATGGTTAATGAAAAAAAAAAACATTTGATTCGTTATATGAAGAAAAAATTTTTTTTTTTATTTGATTATACCCAAAACTATTATATATAATTAAGAATATTTTACTGTATCGACAACTGTATTATATTGATCAAAAATTTATATATAAAAGATATGTATATCGTTCTAGACAAAATGTTCGAACGAATAGCATTTCAATATGCTGCACGTCATTACAAAGAAAAACGATTCTACATGTATTATGACACATAATAGAAGATGATTATTTTTCATCATAATGGTTTTTGAAGGATTGAAAAACTTCTTTTGAATTTGATCTAAAAACGAACATTAAAGAAAATATAACGAGATTCTTTTAAAGGAATAAGAAGTAATAAACTTCGAGAATTTGATGTTCTGACATACATGTAGAGAATCAGCTTTTCTTTTTTTTTTCTTTGCTTATCGGATACTCATATGTGAACCACACCGGAAATTTTCTATATTAATTCTTTACGACATATTTATTCTCAATAGTGTTGTTTTTGTTTTTTTTTATTACTATTTCTAGGTGAAAAAACTTTGTAAGAGTTATAAAAATTTAATAGACTCTCGTAGAATAATAATGAAAAATTCGTTACTGCTGTTTTTTAAATAACTTTTTGCTATCAAAGTGTTTCTTAATTTTCTATTAGATATTATTTAAATAGTTTTCCGAGTATTACCTAAAATTCAGTATTTCGATAGCAGAGAGTTACATTAGAAAAATAATCTAGCGGACTAAAATCTGTGAATTTTTTT